GTCAAAACGTAGACTACACTTTCGTCTATTTATGAGAAATTTCACCTTTACTACCACAGAATGGATCCATCAACTACGTATCGCAATGCCAGCGTGTAGCTACCCAAAGATACGACACGATAATAATTATTACGCCTACTTTGAATAGTTTAAACGTGAAAAATTATAACGTAATATTATTCTAAAAGTCTGCAGTGTTTTCTGAAGTGTTCTGCAGATTTTAATGTAAACGACTATTTAGAAATTAATTATTTTATTTAAATTATATATAACTCGTCGTTGGGATTGGCATAGACAAAGAGTGACTATTATGGAAGTTTAACTATCGTTAATGTATATTCATATTCAAAATTGTAAAAGAAAATTTACGTAAAATATTTTATTACACTCAGCATTTGTTTATGATTCAACGCTGTAACCGAATTAGAGTCTTAAAATTTATCCGCTTTATTAATGTTCTTGTGCCTTTCAGCTGATTCATGTCGAAGATTTTGGGAGAAAATGAAGGAAAATAATCAATGATGAACATTCCGGAGGACACAACATTACGAACAAAGAGCTTTATACGAGGAAACAGCACACTCGATTTCAAAGATGTCACAAATAATAAGGGTTATGGACATAAGTGTAATTATTCTCAAATAAAATATATGCACAGATAATTAAAGCATACGAGGTGCGATCGGAAAGTTTCAAGACTGCGCGTATAAAAACCCGTACACTTATCTCAGGTATTAAATTCATCCATCACCCTCGAAGTAGTTCCCCTGGGAGTGAACATAACGATCCCAACGCCGCTGCCAAGCCTGGAAGCATCCCTGGAAATATTTCTTTGTCAGCCTGTCAAGCACCATCTGCGATTCTGCCTGAATCTCTTCTATCGTCTCAAATCTCCTTCCCTTTAGCTGAATTTTCATCTTTGGGAAGAGGAAGAAGTCACACGGCGAATAAGGAGGGTGCGGGATGACGGCCATGGTGTTTGAGGCCCAAAACTGCCGAACTTTGAGGGCGGTGTGCGCTGGCGCGTTGTCATGATCCGTCGCATGTGGAGTTCTTCCTTTAGAATCAGCTGACAGGTCCCATAGCCTACCCCAACAATGTCGCACAAGTCGTAGATGGTACGACGTCGATCTTCGTGAAGGGCCTGCCGAATCTTCGTAACATTTTCGAGCGTTGTGCTCGAAGATGGTCGTCCAGAACGCTCGTCATCATCGACAGAGGTTCGGCCATTTTTAAAACGTGAATGCCACACAAAAGTTTGTGCACGACCCATTGCGGACTCCTCAAATGCTTGCTTTAGCATTTCATAGGTTTCCGTAGCCGTTTTGGCGAGTCTTTGGCAAAATTTGATGCACACGCCATTCCGAAATCGCAGGAGGGTCGGTGTAATGCACTACCTAAACGCCCGTAACTAAGAAACAAATGCTAATTCGATAATACCGGCTGGCACACTGATTCACTATGAATGTAGGCCGCACCCCCTAAAGGCAGAAGCTCGTACTACATCCGGTTCGCCCGCTATTGACACAGTCTAGAAACTTTCCGATCGCACCTCGTATTGATTGTAAATAAATATTTATATCCTATGTACTCCTGTTATTTGCAAGGTTTACGTACATTTCTTTAATTTTCTTCCAGTATTCCTGAATGCTTTAAATCGATAAATACAAACGCCAAAATATCAAATACGTTCCTGCAATAAATTTGCACGCTAGTAATGACAGAGAAACCGTGGATCAGAAACACATTACCGTCACTTTACACAGTTATGTAAAAGCGAACAAGTTGTATAATGGAAAAGAGGCAACGAAAATCAAAACCCCGTCCAACATTCGATTAATAAAATCCATGATTTATTATAATATAACAAAACGAGCGAAAGTATTAAAGTCTAAGTAAATTATGATTTGCGGCACACACAAATGTTCTGGATTTTCCCCGTAATAAAGTTAGAGTCCTTTAGGAATCTTCGAAGACCCGGTTGGCCAAATGAACAAACTCTGTGTGATTTGCATTGAATTTTGTTTAATTCTTATCGAACGCAAAACTCATAATCTGATTGAATTTTTTTACATATTTTCGTGCTCAGTAACTTTGTAAATATCAAGGCATTTAGCAATAAAATGTACAGTATGTATTATCACAAAATTTGT